CTGGGACAGATTTTGTATTTGGAACGGAACTTGTGGGAATGGGATCCATCTTCATTCTACAGCCTTTGCATGTATGAGCAGAGGTCCAAATCTGTTCACCCTTCTCTCTGTGCTGTTTCGTGTTTGGAGTGTCTGGGTGGTTGCAGGGGTAGTGATTGCAGACCACCTCCATTTGGTTGGGGTGGCGTCATAATCGATCGTTTTTGTTGAAGCGCTTTTGGAACTTTTAATAGACCAAGTGTATGGTTGAGTTTTTACCCTTGTTCTCTCTGTATCATGGTTAAAGAAGAGACCATCCTGCCTTTTCTGAAACCTCCATAAAGCCGGGTTAAGGCTGCTTCCATTATTCCTTGTGTTAGAGTGTGTGGATGTGTGTCTCAACCAGCTCATGGGCCAGAATATCCAGACGCCGCATAATCCTCATTCTCATGCTGCTCGAGTGTTTCCTGACATTTCAGAGTCCTTGTGAGAACGTCGAGCTCTTGTACTTGTATGCAACTGGCATGGTAGAGGTGCGTCCACTGTAGAGTGTTCCGAATCTCCACCTAGCAGCATATTGCCTTCAGACGTTGTTTGAAGAGAGTCTTAGCCATGCTTGTTGTGAGGTAAATTCAATTGTAGACTTATGGGCATTACTGACTCCTCTTAGTCTTCTGCCTTAAATGGTGAGCTGATGAACTGGATTTGTACTTTGGGTAGTTGGCTGCTGGGTTCCAAGATCTATTTTCTTTTCAGTGGCTCATGAAGTGTTTCTGCTTGCTACGTGGATTCATGTGTTGTGTTGGATTCTCATCAACAACCAGGTGGTTATATCTTAAGTACCACAACTTAACTCTTGGGCACATTATACAAATGATGTTTTTTTATTGATAGACTGTTTTTTTTCTTAACTAGTGTTATGTTATTGATAGACTTTTTTTTTTTTTCTTGATCCACTTATCTGAAACTACATGTAGTTAAAAACATTTTTGTGAGCTATTGGGATGAGAAGAGTCAAGTTCAAAATAATCAAAGTAGGTTTGCAAATTGTTTTTCAACAATGATATTGAATCTATCTAGGAGCTTGTCATGCTAGATGACATTTGTAAGCAACTACTCACTCTATCTTAAATCGATCTAGGAACCTGTCAAGATAGATGACATTTGTAAGCAACTACTCACTCTATGTCATTTAACTCAATCATATTAAGTGACTAGGTTTTAGTAAATGAAATGATTGCAAGTTCTAAGAAACCGTTTGCTACCTTACTAATCCTTGTAGGAAGTAGTATACAACATCAAATCGAATTGGTTATAAATGAAGATACCATAGAGATGTCATTTTGTATTCTAATCAGCAATCATTGGAACTTAGTCATAAGAAGGTCTAGGAAACATTATCACCTTCAGTCTACTAATCAATTAAATCTATTAATAATATTTTAAGAATTAGTTAAAAAAAACAAAGGTCCTTGCATTTAAGCAACATGACTAGTAGCATGGTATTCCAAAGGATTACATTTAAAGGCTACTAGTACAAGATGGATAAATAAACAAAGATCAATTGTATAAAGTGCCCAAGAATTAATATGTGATATTTTAGGTATGACCACTTGGAAGTTGGTGAGAATCCAACAACACTTGAATAAAAATTCAGATTAGTTTTCCAAGTATTTATAATCAGATTTTTTTGGCTATTGAAGTTCATGAAAAAAAAATAGAAAATACATTATAGCAATTAGAGTTCTTTCTATAATCTGCATAGTTTGCACTTTCCATTCTACATGTTTCCAAGGCTTTAACTACTTAGTTAGAGAATCATTGCAAGTCTAGTATCAATACCTTTCAACCTTCACTAGAATTATGCTTATCATGCACAATATCATTTTTAGTCGTTGGCAGAAATGTACGCTCAATTTATGCAATCCACCACTCAAAACCAAATGTTGTGAGACAAGTTGTGAAAAAACTATGTTACCAAAGGTAACAATTGCTTCTAGAAAAACCTATTGGTATCAAAATGTCCAAATATTTCTCCGGAATGTTTTGAATGAAGTTGGACTGTCTGCATTGTATTTGAATAATTGAAAATCATTAATACTTGTTGGACTCGTTTGATTTATTCCGACCAGACATGTATCAAAGTTTTTCTTTCCTGTTTTCTTTTCCTCTTCTTTTTTTCTCTAGGTTAAGAATAAATTGCTACAAGTAGGAAAAATATGTAATCCAATCATGAATAATTTTCAAATTATACATGTGTATACATCAAGTTATTATTTTGTTAAAAAAAAATTTCAAAATATATGGAAGAGGAGAAACATGCAGCCACATGAATGGAAATAAGAAATGAAACATGTGAACTGGACAATGAGGAGAAAGGAAAACTGAACCTGGGTTTACTGCATGGTTTTCCAGCTTCAAATTACTGAACCTTCTGATAACTAATAAATAACAAATCTGGGGAGAAAATGCTCAACTTCACACATTCTTTCTGAGGTTCTATCCGGCGACTTCGACTGGCAGACGCCGAAAAGTTGCAGTAAGTATTGAACAGAAATCTTCAGGCAAAACAACCTCGGATCATGAGAATCCAGCAATCAGACATTGTTCGTCAATGTCACCACTTGCCTATGGCTTGCAATGTTAGATTGAGTGTAATATCAAATACAATGTCGTTGACGTCGTCTGTTGATGAAAGACTGGTTCAAAAAGGTGGTTAGAGCGTGTATACAGATCCACCTAGACCAACCTCTCGCTACCACAGAATTTTAGAGGGACTCGCCACACTTGCTAAGGCCAAACACATCGAAAACTGTGGCCGCCTAGCGCCCACGATGCCCGCCAAGCGCATCTCCTCTTCCAGCCGTCACTTATCGTGAAAGGCCGCGATTCATTGAAGATTCTAAAAGTCAATCTCTATCTTCATGCATTGGAGTATCCGAATTACTGCAGCTCGGGTGTTCAGGTTGAAATATCAAGTATTCATACAAATTCGGTTTTGCAACAAAGTGATAATAACCATGTGTTGATATGCATCAACTGACGGCGTTGCTTGGAAGTCATGTGTCGTTGGCGCTGTGAACAAAATATCATGCAGATTATTAGAGTTCGTAGAAGTGTAAGCGTTGCATTACCCTTCGAGCGAGCTTGCAAGTATCCAACATGTGGAGATATACACAATCATTTGATCAACGGAGCGGAAGTTCAGCGCAGCGCCGCTCAATAAAGCAATGGTTGGCCCACTTCCACTGCAAATACTGCAGGAATTGGGCAGACCGAGAACTGCAAATATCTACATTTCGTTTGTGGCATAACTGGTGTATTTTCAGATTCCATCCAGCAAGATTCGTCGAACATTCAATCCCTTATTTCTAACTCGCGAAAAAGCCACTCCTCTTTCTCCAAAGCAATTTTTATCCTTCTCTAGCTTTTATTCTAAATATCTGGCGCTTGTGAACAGACACTATGGAACAAAGCACGTGAAGTGCCAGAACCGACAATCACGAAAAAGCATCAAACGCTAAGAAAGGGGAACCCGAAGGTGCCATCTCAGTTCTTCGATGCAGGAAATAGCTAAATTCCAAACATCTAGATGTCGATATTTAGAGTGGATTCTAGACAATTTTTCCTGCAGGACCCACTTGGAGGGCAAGGGATTCGTCAGATGACGACACTGCACTCTCTCTTTAGCACTTGGCTTCTGCTGAGAGTCACCGAGATTTGCGCTCTACACAGCACTGGTGTGTTCACAATGGCTAAATCATCGAACAGAGCTCTCGGCGCACGGCTAACTTTATATACAAAGTACAGACATATGTATATAAATACATACGTGTGTATATGTATATATTTTTTAGTGTATATGTGTCGAAGGTAACGCAACATGTGAAGTCGCCATCAGGACCAAGGCATCGGAAAACAAGTTCGAAGAGTGCTATGTGCGACCAGTCTGCTTGATTGCTTTAGTTCTAGCTGGTTTGTTTTCGTTGATTTCTTCGATTACTGAAACTGTGCAAGATTGTTTTCCTTTCGTATGATCGAGTGATCACAAACTAAATTCTAGACGCATCTCTTGATAACACAAATTTAGAAAAATTTAGTTGCTTTGATATGCTTGAAGAATCATTTGATACAAATTAAAAATCATAAATTGAGAAATTATTATTAGAAACAATATCGCATATCTAAAAATAAATATACTGCATATGCGAGTTACATTGTAACAAGTTGTGGCTCATTCTTTTTGTGGTGAGGTACAATGAAGTATTTTACCTATATATTTAATATTATGTTGAAATTGCACAGTAACATTTATTCTTTCAGTCATAACTTATCCTAAATATCAAAGTTTTCGTGATTTAATCAAAATGAATTTACAAGTTCTCCATTTATCGTCTAGAAGTAACAAACCAGGATTTGTGATGTTATGCCATGCCCTAGTAACTACGTCCACGCACTACCAAACTGTATACTCACCTTATCTAATGTAAATGCCTCTCTTCCTCTCACAGAAGATCCACAACTTGACTGGTGTAGCTAGAAATGTGATCATGAAAGCTTCATTACTTTGAAGATCGGTTTTCGCTGGTTGTATTCAGTCCTCCTCTTCCGAAATGCCGTTGGTCATATCAAAACGTGTGTCGCGCGGTAATATCGACGCGACTCAAATTAATCAATCCAAGCGAAAGCCATCACTTGAATGACCGTAGATAAACATTAGAAACCAAGACCTAGCGATTAGACTGTCCACCATCTCCGGTTGGAAACCACCCCAGCGAGGAAGACTCCGAGGACCATCTGTCTAGGTGTCCTTTCAAGTTGCGAACCTTAGGCAGATTACAGTCTTCGACTGTAGCACCGGATCGGATCCATCGATTCAGAGTTGAGTTTGAATAACTAAACATGTACGCGTATCAGAAAGGCTACTTCTTTCTGTTGTGTTAGAGTAGACGTGATCTCTGGTTGTTAGCGCTTGCATGATTGGACAAGTTTGGGCCCTGGCTAGAAGCGAAAATGACCAGTGGCTTGTTCAGAGCTTAAGAAGTTGAACGGTCCACGGAATTGAAACTTGAATAAACCAACTTGCTGACGATCCGAATCAGATTTCCAGAGAATGCCCCCTCTACTTGCAGTAGCTTCGAACTGTCGAACCATGCAGTTTGCCGGTGGCCTTGATCAACGCCGAGACGGTAGGATTAACACCTAGGTCACATGAAACAAATACCGGTGAGGATAGGAACTGTAGTACACGGTTAGACCACAGCTATCATAAGACATTGCGTAGGTTTAACGCGGTCCATTTTCGACCCAGCTTGTGCTTCAGCCTCTCGCTCTAATCAGATTTGACAGCCCTTCTTGCACAGTATATTGAGGCATAGATCCTTTCTGCTACTTGAAGCCCCTGAATTCAATAAAATTTTAAAAATCCAATCATCTAGGCTTAGCTAGTCCACTTTTCGAAAGTGTTTGCTGGAGATTGTCAGGATCTGAGAATAAACAATGGGTGCGTGGCGCATGTCGGTCTGTGCGCCAGCCACATCTGGACACTACGGGCATTTTCGGAAAGAAAGGATCGGCAAATCACGTGTTCATTTTTAGGTTTCAATGCTCATATTCAAAATCGCGAATCTGGTCCCTGGAAAACGTGCTTTCGTGAAACAGTTATCCTTGAAGAGAGCTTCATTTTCGGTGCATTATTGATGGATAGATACTGTCGACGCCCGCAATCATCTAGGCCTCTTAAGGTTGATGCTGTGGCTATGGCTAGATGACTTGTGCTTTGTCTGCCACTGCAATGCCCCTGGAGGAGGTGTGGATTAGTGAACGAGGACGTCTGATTGCGTGACGCATGCGAGAGAAGTGAGGGTAGATGCTGTATAAATGCTGCAACTTGTACTCAACTAAGTTTTAAGATAGTGTCTAGATGAAGTTGGTTAGGTGTTGCGGTGGTGATACCAAAGTGAAGGTACATACATATTTGGAAATTTGGTTCCAAAATTGGAATATTTTTCAAACTTATTATGAAAGATGTTTGAGAAAATGTGAAAGAGACAAATAACATTTTGGCAGTTGTCGAAACGAACATGGGCTTTTTAAATGTTCGCAGATCCCACCAAACGACTCGTCATTTTGAGTGAAGAAGCGTAATGTCGAATTGTGCAGGTCTGAGTTAATTAGGTTACAGTCTTCGAAGCGCCATTAGGAATGACCAAGATTTCATGCCGAGTATGATCTCGGATTGACATGTTGCAGGTAATTCCATTATGCGATTCTTACAAACAGAAGAGAAAAATTGATGTTGCAATATTACATCACAGAGTTGCTATTGCATCATTTGCCATTAGTGTATAGGAACAACATTCACTAAGGATACAAGAATAAAAATCGTATACTACAAAATAATTATCGTGTTCTATCGCTCTGATCAATGAGATTTTACGAAGCCCATCGTTCGTCATGTACGTCATTCATAAGATTTGTGCTTCATGTACGTCTAGCTCAGAGTCACTTGCTGCTGGACAGTGTAGCAGGTTCTGATTAAAGCTGTAACAATCCAAAGAATTGTTGCTCTGGTCTGCTGCTAACAGGTCTTAAACGTGAGACAGCAACGTATCGACTCCGAGGGAGATATGAATGGAATCAGAAACCAAAGCCGAGGTCTTGCCACTCCTCGCACTCACTACTTGTGCATACTCAGAACGCAGTTCCTGCAAAACCGGAAGAAACACATGTGTCCACTCTAGACTCGTACATAATTGTCAACCATGGATCAAAATGTCGAAATAATTAGCTACTGCTGCTTGAGAACGCCGAATATCGCAAATTACTTGTAGCCCTCCCTATCTCATGCAAAGCACATTGTAAACAGTGTTCTGTTGGGTAACAATGAATAAAGAGTATGAAAACCAGAATCAAGAAACGACCAACAAAAGTAGGCCGAGAGTCTCATTGCCATGAATAGTGTTTTTCTTGGTTGAGGAGGCTTCACGCTGCAAACTGGGCGAGGTATAGTAGATCCGCGCAAACAAACTCTGCTCAGAGCCCATGCTTGTCCTGGCGAATACTAGTCGAAGACGAACCATGAAGTGAGAAATCCCTTGGTTGCACACAGCTTGGCACGAAACTCTGATATCCCCTCAATAATTTTAGGGAGAAATCGTGCATGGACAACTGAAGATTGACGAGTATAGTGAGATTAACAGTGCTAGTATGTTCGTCCCCGGTAGTGACTGCAGTGACTTTCTGCAGTCACTGAAGTAGGCGCGCAAAGGAAGATACCGACAAGACCTCAAACTATTGGGTGTGGCTGCAGAAATTCGAAATTAGAGTTTCCAACAGCGTCTTTCAAATTGAAGATTTCGTGCGAAAAAAGGTATACAAACAATATGACCCCCAACAACCAAACAATGTGAAAAACCAGGAGTGATCTAGATTGGAAGGAAGTAGAAGGCAAGGAATTGGATTCGACTCAATACAAGCAGTCACAAAATGGATGCGCAAAGGAATAAGTGCTTCATGCCAAACTGCGGCTTCCAAGGGGAGACACTTAGGATCCACACAACAGGCGTCGGCTGGAAGAAATATGTGTTGCTCCGGATTCGGCGACTGTCCACGCGGGTACAAAATTGGTGGAGATCCTAAAGCCATCAGAGACACACACAGGGAGAGAGCGATTTGTAGACTGTGACCACAATCTGCAAAACCTTCTTTAAGTACTGTCCAGAAGAACAGAATTGCAGGAAGTCAGGAAAGCGAGATCGCGATAGCGTGCCGTGGGACGTTCACAGAGAAATCGCACTGGTCACTATCGTAACATCTGCGAATCTTTCGAGGCTCCTATCCTATTTTCAGTTTCCGTCCCGTCACAGACCGAAGAGTCCCATCAGATGGCTACGCCAATTTCGCAAGATCGTTGATACCTACAAAGTTTACTCCCTTTGGAGACTTCGTCAAAACCTAAGTAATTTACTCCTGTCAAAGATCAATCCTGACCTTCGGACTTGAGACTTGCGTGTTCACAGTACAAGAACAATAAGGCAATTTGGTCCAAATTATCTACTTTCTGATTAGTATTATATCACCAAAACCTACTCCCACTGGTGATTGGGCCCATATGACCAAAAATGCTGACATTGAAAGAAAAAAAAGAAAAAAAAAGAAAGAAGAGAAATTCTTCTGACAAGCCGCCCCATGAATTCTCTTCATTGCACGATCATTAAGAGGCTATATACGCACAGCGAATTAATGTTGCAACAGCTCCTGATGATTCCTCAATTTGCAGGTCAACACACAGACATGTAGAACTGTGTTGGTGTTTACGTAAAGAAAAGTCTCTCAGTTGTTTCTTGTTTGAGCTGCCAGGATCCCGTTTTTCCGACGGAAAACCCAGTACTATTCTTTACTCCATTGCCTTCATGTCCTGTATGCAAGTAGCAATAATTGATCTAGGGTTTGTTTTCTGGTATTGGCCGAAAATCGTCCCAAATTTTGTGCCTACTAATAGACAGCACCACCTCGCCCTTATTCTGTTGAACTGAAGGATTTGCGGAATCGAGTTGCTTCATATTCATATTTTCATTTTCAACATAAGGTAAGCAAAATCCAGGTGCATTTTTCCGGCTCTCTATTACCAACAATAGCAGAGCTGTGGATACGCCAGAATGTGAATTAAAATAATATGCTAGCAGCCCTCAGTTAGGACAGTATTTTTTTCCGACCAGTGGCAACATAGACGAAAACCTTGAAACTAGAGGGATTAGATCGATCCGGAGGCACTGAGTGGGCACAGCGCACATTTGAGGCGGAGATCAAGCTTTTTGTGAGCTGATAATGGCAAGGCATGCAGAAATCCAACAATCAAGTGTCCCCGTCCCCCCCCCCCCCCCCCCCCATACACGGATCGTAAAGTCTCTCCAATTGGACAGCACGTTATGTCCAGTCAAGCTGCTCAGGCCGTCTGCCGTGAGAGCCGTGACCACGTGGGTCTATTCTGTGTTTATTTATTTATCATCACTGCTCCTGGAATTTTAAATTTTGACTGGTTTCGTTTAGTTCATTTCCAAATGAATCTTCTCGGTTTCCTCAACAACCGAGGTATAAGCGCCGCTATTCTGACGGTTCGAATGGCTGTAATAATCAAACAAGAGCTGTCAAATCTGTCAATTCGAAGGGTTCAATATTACGCTAGTTGAACCAAACGTTATGGTTTTCTCTTGTTTCGACGGAATGCTTATATTTGGCACCATGATGCCTGAGGAATTTCCGCCACCAACTATGAGAAACCTCCCGCATCATTATGCCTCTATGTATTACCCTAAGCCTGTCTAGGTACAAGCTTCGGTGCTTTCACTTCGACGAGTAATACAGGGGTGATGAGCATCACGGTCTTCTTGATGGGATTGTGTGACGAGCCGAGCTTCCTGTGACCTTGAAAAGACACTAGTTTAGACCTGGCACCTACAAAAAGTGACAATGAAATAGGATTATCCATCGGTTGGCGGTCGCAGGGTTCAAATTTCAAGATTTGTCTCCAAGCAACCTTAATTTCGTTTTGAACTTGAGCTCGCGAAAGTTGTGAACCTTTGGCGACTCTATCCTAACTGTGGGGCTGCGCAAGAGTCATGCTTCAAAACTCCATCGAAGACCCATCTATCCTGAAAGACCGTTATGACTATTGGCCGGCTATCGTTGCATCTCCGCACAGCGATACTAGGAGCTCTGTTGGAGATCATGCGTTCTGCAAGAAAGTGAGTGATACTTCCAAGAAAGAGAAAAAGTAGATATCGCTCCTTTCTGCTTCAAGTGGAAGTCTGAAATTTTCAGTTTCGATTTCTTACTTGCTTACGGAATCTGACTGGCGCCGAAGGGTGTGGGTAGGAGGCTTTCGAGTTCCAGAGGCCTGTGTCTGGCGACGGTGCTTCAAGAAGCTACTTTCATTAGCATCCAACCACATGTTCCCTATTTCCATCAGTTTGTGGTCCCAATCGCAGGACCCACGTTCTTAATGTGCTTTGATGCGGTATGGTCGGGCAGGTCTAGAAATATCTGAATGGCTCAGCCACTTAGAGACAGGTTAAGCGTTCTTCTAGCAGCATCATAATGTCCATTTTGATCATTTAATGATAGGAAAGTGTGAGCAGGCGTCATCTTGTGTCATAATGATTTGAGACATTCCATATTTTTAGGCAGGTATAAGATTCTTCGTTTGAGATGTTTACCTGTGCTAAGGGATACCAACACATCCTGCATTCCCTGGAGACAGACTTCTCCCTCTCTACTGATGTCCTTGTGGCTTGTCTTATTCTAGTGATTCAAAAGCAGCTAAGTCGAGTAGTTCAGATCTCACAATAAGCACTTTTTCAGGTTCTATGCACTGGCTTACTTGGATGGGCTTGTGACATAGTGTATTACCAAGCGATTGGTGATTGTTCACTAGGTCAGAGAAACGAATTTCGCTCACACTTGCCCTGAATAACGTCAACGAACTACCAATGGCCTGAACCTGAGCGGATGTATTGTCCAAACTTTTTTGAACATTTGTGCTCACCGATCGGCAATGGAGTGAAAGCAGCAAAAGAAATCTGTACTTCAAATTTCTGTTGTAACCTTCCAGATGACTCTTCGATATGATAAGATCATGCAAGGTGAAGTCACATCAAAACATCTCTAAGCTCACATCGTAGAAAAAGGAAAATAAGAAAAAAAATATCCCAAAACACTTCAATCGTGGTATGAAGCTTCAACTGCTACCACAGGTTGTCAGTATTAGACATATCAGCGCTACCTAATACTCACGCGTGAGTAGAAGACCACAGGACCTTATCGGAAGATCATATTGAACAATTTGAATTCTGAAAGAAGCTCTAGGCAAATCTTTGGTCTAATAGAATTGCAACCACCTTTCGAAGGACCTTCTTAAAAAGTCTAATAAGCCAACTAGACGAGCTGCAGAATCACATTGCCCCACTCGATCAAAAACGAATTCGTACAACAACAGTTCAGAACCAGAAGATTGTGAATCAAACATATGATCTCAAAGAATCATAGTTTCCGGTACTTCTACCACAGCATGCATAGAGACGGAAATCCAAAGTAATACGGAAGGACCATCAGCAACAGCCACATCGACTGTACGAGTGAACCAAGCCCCATCTCGAAAAAACTTGGATTCAACAAACCTTTCCTATCGATATTCGAAGACCCAGGGTGTTCCAAGTTGTACAGCACGTCAGCAAGATAGTTATGTAGCTGGAATTGGTTAGCATTTAACACAAAGAAACAGGAGAAGAATCACATAGGGTTAGCAACTTGTTTGTTTCTTCTGTTGCAACTGGGTATCCATTAGCTCTCAAGCCTAATTGCACCGAGTTTGAAACCAGAATCGGGCTGAGCCTCCTCACTAGTAACCTGTAAATTCGGTGGTGTATTGTGTACGTGAACATTCCTGATGAAGGCAACTTCTGAGACGTGCGTGAGGACTTCAGAGAAATTTCCGGATCGAACTTTAGGGCACACGATCCCAAGGTTGCTGCGCTAGTTCATGAGCAAATCAATAGTTAGTTTTGTCGGGTACAAAGATACACTGCTTTGCACTGGCCAATCTCGGCCCGCAGTTCATCGAGTTCAGCAACAGTGCACTGCTGGGTCCTTGGAGATGCTTTTGGATAACCCAACGCAGCCAATCATTCTACACGTATATTCTTTTCTTCTGTTACATCCCAAGAGCATTGCATATTGATTCGCCAGATCTTTCTAAGTAAAGCAGCTGAACAGTTTAAGTCATAAAGACCACCTGAAATCCTGCCTCACGTGAGCCTATCCACTCACTCACGATTACAGTTGGTAAATACATATTCATCTTCTGCATGGTAATGACGGTAAAAATACCTCATGAACAAACTGCTCCACAAAGACAGTTCACAAGGCGGCACAGTTACTTCTTCATTATGCACACAAACATAAACCTCATTTGTCTACCTCTGGCTGTGCTAAGCCATAGGCAGAACTGGGTCATTGCACTATGAACCTTGCTTCACACACCAGTGGCAATGTTAAGGATGTGATTTCTCCTATACAAAACAGACACGGCTAATAGAAACGTTCACAGAAACCTGAAATAGACTCAAGATCAAGAGAGACCTTGAAGGGGGTCAGGACATCGGCTTACTTGCGGATCGAATGAGTTAAGAAGCACGGCTAAGACTGGATAGTCTTACTTCCTAGAAAATCTCTTGTAAATGTCTGAATTGGCTCTCCTCCCAAAGCTCATGTCTTCTTATGTAGGTGACAGAGTATCATAATTTGATTCCAACTGTGCCCAGTCCATGGCACGTAAAACATTTACACTCAAATCTGAAAATGCTGCTCTGCCGATACAAGTTCAATTAAAACGGAGAAAATCAACAAGAGCTTCCTCCCAAGTGAGAGTTAGTATCTTCCAAGAGATTCAAACCTTCAAAATTGAAATTCTCGACTTTCAGATTTACATAGTCAAGATGCACGGCTGTTTGCCAGTCTACGAATTTTTCTCTCGGAAATCATATCTAGTGGTTTAAAGCAGCCTAGCTATTTGGGGTGATACTCACTGCATTCAAACAACCAGCTTCCTCTAAAATTATCTGCAACCTCCTTCACAGTATATCGCATGGCTAAAATAACTTAATCAACCATGAATAAGGCTTCTAAGTGTGACCGATAGTTAACATTAGGCTAAAGTACCACCAACTAGAAGTCGAAGCAACGATTGAGGGCACTGACCACGGTGAAAGGGCCCGATCTTGTGGAATTAGATCTAGTCAAGTTCATTGTTATCTTCAGGAGTATGATGATAATACTCTCGTTTCAGAATATGCAACCGAACCACTTTTTGTAATTTACTTTAGATGAGAAACCTATGACAAGATGACTTGCACCAAAACTTGATCCCACATTACATCATAGACTTCCAATTTTCAGGAGGCATGATTGCAAGAGCCATTTATTCAGCCGCCGGATCTTCTCATATAAAAACAAGTAGATTCATCATCGATTCTGTATGTGCTGGAAATAAACACCACAACTTTAATTCTGACTCTCTATACTGTTTTTCTGTGTTTTCGATACTAAGCTTCCTGGTTGCACACTGAAACGGGAAAGGCCATGGGAGCAGCCAGTATTTCAGAGGAGTGCAATACGTTTCTTCTAGCGAGCTAATGCAAGATGGATTACAAGATACACCGATGCACGTTGTGGGACTTCCGGCTACGAACAGATTGGGACACTGCTCATAGAAAATGAAAGTTTCCAGCGATTTCCGTATAGAAGGCCACTAAAATCTAGATAGACAGAAGAGATTCACAGTGCTAATAATCTAATCCTAACGCAAATGCATCCACGTGGAAACATTTACTGGCTAGACTTGCTGCAATCACCTCACGGTTATAGAACCCCTAAGTTGCAGAAATGGCGACTCAATACTTCACTTTCCACCCTTCAAACACTTCACGGGTCTTCTTTTACTCTCAACGAATTGACCCCTATTTCAATTAAATTTATGGAAAGAGAAATTCTTTTTTGCCTCAAAAGTTATGTTTGATTATGTGTGAGTTGCTGCAATCAGAACGCGAGTGAAACACCAATTCATATTGATCATATTTACTGGGAAGAGCTTTTCCATACTGCACATGACTTATCTCGTGAAATTATCACTTACCTCTGAGCATCTGATCGCTATCTAACAGCAAATCCTTCATATTGATAGAATACTGGTGCTTGCAGGAGAAGCAATCATACAACAACAGCAACAGCAACAATAAGGAAATGATGTCATTGAACGCACCTGTGGCAAGACGTACACGGTGAGATCTAACTGCAGGGAGTCGCAATGACGAAACCAAAAGGAACGAGCTTAGGTTCTCAGCGGTGCCATACAATGCGGCAGCTACCGTCGCTAGCTCCACCCAGCCTTCCCACAGAACTGCTCTTTCAACCCAGCAGATTAGGTTATGTCGAACTGTAAACCTGGTAACTGTGCTCGCATCTGTCGAAGTCTCCCTAACGATCTACCCAAATCTCATGCGACTGGGGGGATTAGTAGAGATACTGGAATACATGAAGCCGGGGGTCATGAATGGGGTTGGGGCGTGTTCAGAACGGGGTGATCTCGACACCCGAAGCGGAGCCCCGAGCGGGCGGGCGGGCGGGCGAAGGACAGTGGACACACAAGCATCCAAGCATCGACGAAAGCTTGGCACAATTTATGTGGCCCTACGACTGTGACGCTGTCGATGCCTTCGGAGCCATCGCTCACGTCACTCGACACGTCGCTCCATGGCCCTGGTGGTATCATACTGCTAATATAAGCCCTTGGCTTACGTGAGCGCCGCTGTCGACGGCGGACTGCGACGGCGCACTCGCAATGGGGCAGTTCATTCGCTCGGTTGTGCCTCGGCTTGTGGAAAAAGCATTGGGAAGAAAGATTTTGTGTCCCTCTTTGCGGCCGTTTTTTATTGTTAGAAATGATGGTGCTTGTGGATTTATTACTCAGATCAAATTAGTGTGCTGCATCTAAAAGGAAAAGAAAACTGGTTTTATATTTTATTTCTTTCTCATTCATTTGTCCATTTATTTATACATGATTCCAAAGGTGCTACTAGAGTTATTTTTTTATGAAAGCTTGATTGGAACAGTGTCCCAACACAAAGATCTTGTAGATTTATGGGACGTGCTTAAAAAAAATTTCAATGCAAGAGACCAATGACAAATCATGTTATTAACAAACAAGTTGAATGGAATGTCAATAAAAGAGAAAAGTGACATCAATACTTATCTCACAAAAGCTATGGATTAAAGAACTAGTTGAAGGCTTTTGGCAAAACCACCGTAAATGAGGTGCTCATAAACATTATATACAATGGGTTATTGCAAAGTTACAAGATAGTGATCCAAGGCATCACTTATATGACAAAAACCACATTAAAAAAATGAGATGGGTAAAATTTTAACTAAAACTTATTAAATAGTAGGGAACAAAATTTGGGACAAGAGGAGGCTATTGGATAAAACTTCCATTGAATATTTTACATCCATCACATATAAGTTTCTCACCAGCCTATTTCTTAAAGTTGACTAGATTGTCATAGTTAGTTTTGAAGAAGGTCCAATAAAAAAATGGCATTTGAATGTCATTAAAGATTTGTCTTCTGAAATTGCTACACATCTTATATACATGAATAAAGTTTTAATTACTGTTGCACAATGAGTCTGTATCATAATATTTGAAGTGCTCTAGACTATGGGCCCTTCCCGCAAGTACGCTGCGCCATAGAGTTCTTACCTTCTTTTAATATCATTTTTTTTCAATCTACTCTCTGTCTGGATCACTCTATTCCTCTACATTTAACCACCCTCTTTCTCATTATTTGACTCCCTCCACTGCCTTTTTAAACGGTGAAAGCAACATACAACATGGGCAAGTAGGACTAGATCCCAGTGAAGATGTTCAACGGATCACAATTTTTTATGAGAAAATAACACATGGAAATTGTATTCAAGGCAAAGAAAGTCTTGCAAGTAGAGGAGAGCAGTCAAGCGACCTGCATCTGCTTCTACTTTGGCATTTGCTTCTACTTCTAGATTTGTTTCTACTTCTCACAAAGACCAACTTGCCATTGATTCTTGGGACGAGAAGAACGCTAACGCCAGGATGTTCATCGGCAAATCAATTTTTCAAAAAATCTTGAGTAAGCTTACTACTTGTTCAACAACAGCTTTCATGTGGCAGAAACTCTGCTCCCTCCATCTCAAAAAAAACACCCGAGAGTATCTTCACTTTCCAGGGGAAGTTCTTTGATTTTAAAATGCAGATATATGATGATATATCAATGCACATTCAGAATATCATGGATATGACTATTTTTCTAGCAGATTTAGGATACACAGTCCTAGATAAGATGATTACATTGAAGATTATTTACACTCTTCCACCAAGCTTCAACAGTATCATTGCAACATGGTCTAACGTTCTCAAAAACGAGCAGACAGTAGATCACCTTGACGAACGACTCCTTCGACATGAGAGTCTTCTTCAGCGTCAAGGAGGAAGTGATATTTAAGCTGATCAAGCCTTCTTTACTTGATTGTATCTAGGACCAACGAAATTTATAACTAAGAAGAAGCAACAACAACAAGATATCAATTATATGTATGATCTAAAAGCTCAAACGAAATGCTACAATTGTCATGAAATGGGATACTGGTCTGCTGATTACACTAAACCACGGAAGAAACGATTACATAGCAAGGATCCACGTAACGTAGATGGAGGAATGAAAGATGCCAACATGGCTGAAAGTTTGAGTACCTCTAATGCTTTGGATAATGACTCACATTTTGGATCTGATAACAATTATGCGTTTGTTGTCAACACCTACTTATACAGTTATTATATGCTGTTGAATCCGTGAATGATACATGGTATGCAGATAGTGGCGCAAGTGAACATATGACGGATTATTATGAGTGGTTCTCCACGATGGAACATATCCCTAAAGGTCTCCATACAATTCAAATTGCGGATAACACAAAATTGTGGGTACGAGGCCAAGGATCAACTTAAATCAAATACATGATTGACGATACTTTTCGATCAAGAGTGCTACGCAATGTTCTATATGTACTGCAGCTCAGACGGAATTTGTTCTCTGTTGGACTCGTTTCAAAAAGAAATGTTTCATTCATCACCTACCCTGTCGCTATGAGTTATGAACAACCAATGGAAAGGTTGTTCTTGAAGGGACCAGGGCACGCAAGCTTTATAAACTTACCATTAAAGTCATTCTCCTGCGAAGACCACTCAATGCACCTTCTCTTACCTCAAAAACCAAAGACCACTCACTACATCCTACTTGTACGCTGCCTCATCCTCAACAGCCGACTTCCTCGAAATTATCTTCGGTTGCTTTGTTAACCAGCCACTCTACTTCTGAAATTCAGCTTTGGCACAAAAGGATGGAATACGTGAATGTGCTAACAATGCACCAAATGAGTCGCCATGCAAGCTTAAGGGATTTCACACTCCATACAAACGACTCACTTCTATACCCATGCGAGGGATGCATGCGAGGAAAACAACAAAAATCCTCGTATAAATATGACCCTAACAAGTAATATTGTTAACTACCCAGACAACTACTTCATGGAAATGTATCAGGTAAGAAAACACCTACTCTTTAACGGCTACATTTATTATATATTATATAAAGAGATGCTACCGCATATAGATGTGTCCATTTTGCTAAACAAAAATTGAAGGCATTTCTGTTCTTCAAAAGAGTTATTAATCTTGTCAAACGAGATACGGGATACGACATGCTAGCTTTGCGCATGGACCAAGGCCGTAAATTTTGTAATAAAGCTTTTGATCGATTTTTAAACGAGCATTATATCAAGCGACAAACGAGCACCCCATATACGCCGCAACAAAATAGATATATTGAGCGTGACAACTGTTTTTGAGATGGCTAGATGTTTACTTCATTCGAAAGATCTCCCTTCAAAACTATGAGCTGAAGCAATACACACTTCAGAACAATTAACTTGCAACTAGGTGATATTACACCATACGAAACGTGGTTTGGCAAGAAACAACATTACCGCATATTCAGCTCACTTTCTTGGATTTATGTCAATTAACAATTCCGCATGAAGATGGAATCTAAAAGCTTACGAACATATTTTGTTGGATATTCTAATACAAGCCGCGCCTACTATTTCTGGAACTTGACAATAGATAAGATCATTGAAAGCTTTGATTACAAGATCGATGAAGGCTCAGACAAATATACAACCGAGTTTCTTCAAGATGCAGAAAGAGAAAATTATGTGACACTTCGACTTGAAAACAGCGACACAACGACTTATGTGCCACATTTGACATGTCTACTAACTATAACACCAACAAATAGTAACCATTTGACTCACAATTCATTGCCAACTCTAGTTTCACCACATGCAGATACACAAAACCAATCAGTGGGAGTAAACAACCGCACAGCGGGAGATCACAACCAATCAATGGGAGATAACAACCTCTCAGTGACAGATAACAACCAAACAGTGGGAGATCACAACCAAAGAGCAAATGATATTGCAACATCAATGGGAGATGAAACTCCACCACTCTCCAACCAACTACATCCAGGGGACAACAATCACACATCACCAACTGCTTCTTCTTTATCAGAATCAGATTAACAACAATCGTATGAACTTAAAGAATGCACTCAATCAAAATTCAAATCTGTACAAGAAATTCTGCTAACTACACCAAGAATCTAGACACCAATAGTCAGCTCTAATTCATACGAAGACAATCTATCACATCAAGCTCTTCTTATCTCTAAAGCACGACTTCATAATTAGCAGCTTTTATGGCATCCGTAGGCACTTATATCAATGAACCACAATCATTCCTCTCAAGATTCAAAATCATGGAAAGAGAGGATGAATCGTGAATACAATTCATTAATTGAAAACATCACCTAAAACTTGGTAGAACAACCCAAATCCAGAAAGCTTGTACGCAACAAGTGGATTTATAAAGTAAAATATAAATTGAACAAAGAGATTGACAAGCACAAGGCTTGTTTAGTCGCGAAGGGCTTCACACGAAAACCAGGAGTGGATTTCATAGAAATGTACTCTCCTATAATTTGATATGAATCAATTTGAGCCATTTTTGCAATAGAGGCTGCAAAAGGTATGTATCTAAAACAATTTGACATTGCCACAACTTTCCTAAATAGTGACTTATCCGAAGAGTTATAAATAAGACAACCTCAGGGTAATATAGATCCACACAAACCATCACAGTGCTGTCGATTCAAGAAGAGCATCTATGGCCTCCGCCAATCCGCAAGACAGTGGAATATTCATATATCATCATTTTTCAAACAATTTTGATTACTCACAAGTGAAGCTGATTCTTGTGTTTATTGCAACAATAGTTATCTACATACAATCATAGGCATTTATGTCAATGTTGGCATCATAGCTTCACTCCTCCCGAACTACATTAAAGAGATTCTTTGATACCCTACAAACTAGCTTCAAAGTGACAAGCAGCAATGTCGATTATTTTGTTGGATTCAAAGTCAAAAGATGCTCCTCCACTAGATCTATTTTTCTTCACTAGAAATTATACATC